GGTGTCTCAACCCTGCCTTTGAATGGTTTTGCAGCCTGCCTTTTAAAAGCGCTGCTCGTGGTGAGCTCAGCCCCAGCAAAGCGCTGCTGTAGGCGGGGACCTTGCTGCAATAACGCTTCCCAGGTAGGCATTACTGCACTGATTCACAGCGCCAAGAGCTGCCTCGTGCTCTGCAAATGCTCAGAGTTACATCAGCAGAAGATGCAAGCCTTGGGTTGAGTTTTTTGGGGGTAAGCAGGGACCCCGGTGGACTGCCAGATGGCAAAGATCAAGGTGCTGGTGTCGATGGGGAGTCCAGGAGCTCGGTGGGACACACAGCACAGGTGCTGTCCCTCGGGCAGTCCCCTCCAGAGGTACCATCCTGCTTCTGCCTCGGCGTGCAGAAATGCAAGGCGAGACCACCACTTACTAATAATAACTGCTGGTCGTTATTGATGGCTGGAGCTAAGCTATTTGCTATGTCATTGAGGTTCGAATTCCGTGTTTCGAATCGTGTGTATGACACCGATGTGAAATTCCAGCAAAACGCTCTTTCTCCTCTTGGTTTTGTTTTCTGTTTTCCAACTCCACGCGTTGCAGGGCTGCCTTTCTCACCCAGGATGTTGCTAGGAAACCAGACGTGTTTTTCAGCAGCATCCCCCAGCTCTTGGATGGGGTGCTGGTACCTCCCTGCTCAGCTGGAAAGCTGGAGAGAAACGTTATTTTTTCATGACTGACATCCTGCTGGCACCGTGCAGATCCCTCGTGGAGAAAGCTGTGAGAAGGGTGTGAATTTTCATCGTGGCCATCAGGTTTCCTCCCCGAGCACCTGCACGAACACCGTGTGATGAGGTGATGAATCCTGCCTCGCCGCCACTCATCAGGCCGAGTGAGACCAGCAGGGACAATTAAACGCTGCAGGGAGAGATGAGGATCGCTAATCAACTTGCAAATCATCTAATCAAACCACGCTCCTCGCATCCCACTGTTCCAGTGGATTTATAACTATAATTATCCTATTTTAATTTTTTTTTCCCCCAATCAATTTTACATGAGTATTTATTTTCGTGCGCTAAGCATATTGTCCTCCGTAGACTCGAGGAGTTTTTTATAGCCACGCTTCTTAAGCAGCCACCTTGCGTGGCAGTTCATAACCTTGGTGCATGCACAGACACAGAGACCACATAAATAAATGAATAAATAAATAAATAAATAAATAAAAACTACAATATTTCTAGGGTATTGCTCCTGGCAAAAGTGCAGCATCCAATGGTAACCCTAATATATAGGTTACATGTATACCCATATTACTTTTTATTAGGGATTTTGGAAAAAAAATGAATGTTAGAAGATGATTTAGCTGTCCTCTAAAAGATTCCTGACTGAAAGATGCACTGTAAAAGATGACAGAGATTTTTTAGCTGTTGTTTGATTCTCAGAACACCTCAAATCCTCCCATCTTCAGTCAGACAGCGGGCCTTTCCTTTTGACGTCAGCTGGACCTAATAAATTGCACATTGCAGGAAGAGTGGTCTCCTTAGCATATGCTTAGGTTACCTGGCATTTTACATTTTAGAGATTTTTCTTAAAAGAACTTTTTCAAGACCTCTCACTTATCCATAAGGGAAAACTCCAGCTGAAGGGCAGCAGTCAGCGTGAGGCCTCTGAAAAGACTTCTGAAAAATCTCGAATCTGAAAAATCTCTTCTGAAAGTCGTGTCCCAGGCTGCCCAGTGAGGCGGTGGGGTCTCCTCCTTGGGGACCTTCAGCACCACCTGGCCGTGGTGCTGGGCACCCTGCTCTGGGTGGCCCTGCTGGAGCAGGGGCTGGGCTGGGACCTCCTCAGGTCCCGGACAATACCAAAAGTGAAATACCAATACCAAAGTGGGACAATACCAAAGTGAAACAATTATTTCTATATGTAAAACTCGTCCAAAATAATATCAATGAAAGCACTGCGATCAGGATAGCACGGCGTGTAAAGCCAGGGAAAAATTTAGTCATTCGAAGCATAAATCTCTGGAGCAAAGAGAGGGGTAGGTTTTCCACAGCAATAAATGAAGCTGCGCTTTTGTGCCGTGCTATTCAACTCACTGCGACAAATCCCAGCACTGCGATGGACCGAGGAATTTCAGTCCCCTGCCATGGATTGCTCCGCCGTGGTGAGAAGCAAGGCAGGGCTCATCACAGCAAGTGCACGACACTGAGGAAATTGGAGAGCTTTAGCGAAAAGCCAGCAAATCCCACCTCCTAAATCAAGAAGGCTTTGTGGCCGTCCATCTATGCTTTCCACATGTGGTGATGCTGTGTGCTGAGCCAACGCCGCCTTTCTATCCCCGGGCTGGGAGCTTAGAGGTGGCTGTAACACATCACGCACGGCTCCGTGTTGCTACTGGAAGAAGAGATTCAGCCAGCTGCCAAAAACAAAAACAGCGAGCCCCCTCTCCGAAATGTATTCCTGTATTTCATACGGAAGGGAGAGTTGACTGGTAAAGGCAGCGATTCATGGGATCAATGAATTAAATACCTGATCTCCAGAAGAAATGAGAATGGGGTTTGTTGAAACTGAGGCAGCCAACCTCAAGAAGTCAAAAGGTTTAAGGCAATTCTGCTCCTCGTGGGTTCAGGGAAAGTTGAGCAGAAAGGAGAAGATCCCCAGAGAAGTGCAGGAGAGAAGAGGGAACTCCCCCAAGCCTGGCTTTATCGCTTGATTTGGGATTAATCCAGGTTGGCTCCAGCAGAACAGCGTTTCCTGGCTGGGCTCCTCTGCTGCGATTTTACGAGCAGCGCATTCATAAAAGTGAATTAAGTGGGCAGCTATTTCGCCCAGAGCTCTCTGCCTGGACCATCTCAATTCCCCACCCTGCGGATTTTATTGCGTCTGGACAGGGCTGGCAGGGAGGCCGATCCATACGGGAGACGAGGGCTGGTTTGGGGGCTCTGCCAGCCAAACGGGGGCTGGCTGCAGGACCCGGACACGCTTCGTCCCGATGCCCGCTGGCAGCTACATCGCTCCCAGCTCCTGGGCTGATAACGGGATTATTCAATCTGCTCCAGCGTTTTGCAGTTCTGGCCAGCCTTTGCTCCTCTCTCCGAGCGCTGTTTGGAAATAGGTCCTCCAAATCCCAGCTGTCAGCTATTTGGGCCAAGATTTTTTCCCAACGAGAGCTGTGCGCAAGCTGGAAAGCATTAAAACTCCCGACACTTCCAACCTTTCAAAGCAAAACAATAAAAATAAGAAGCGGTGGAAATCCCAGACTGATGAAAACCCTGGGAAGCCGAATATATGGGAGAAGCGGATGCCTGCAGCTCCGCGCTGAAGCAGAAGATACAAACCCACATCATTTAAAGCGTGCGGGGAATTCTCTCCAGTCAGCCCCCGTGGCACGACGCCAATAAGTCGATGATATGTTTAATGGGAGCCCGGTGTGACAGCGAGATGGGGATTCAAATACAGAAGGAAAAAATAATAATAAAAAAGATGACAGTAGGGGATTACATTTCCATTCGTGCTGCATTAATCAATGATTAGGGTATCTACCTGCGCGCCCATAGGCCCCTGAGCTATTTATACAGCAGAAAGCTGAAATAAGTGGATCCTCAGAAACCCATAACTTGAAGCCCTTATTCCCATATTCCCACAGAAAGGTCTCTGTTAAGGACAAACCGTAAGATTTTCCAGAGCTCGGATGTAAAGCTTTAAATGCACCTTCAAGAAGATTTTAAAATGCTTTTGCCAATGTAGGAAATTGTCTATGGACCATGAGCTGAACGTGGTGGTTTGGACAGTGACATTGCGATGCGTAGGAATTCAGCACAATTTTATTATTTGGGCAAATGATGAATGATTTATTACAGTAGCCATTTGCTTATGGGCTCAATTAATAAATATTTATGCAGCTGTCTCTGCTCTATGTGTTTTATCAGCAGAACTCCGGTGTCTACGAATGATGTCATTGAAAACCAACATGTATTAAATAGTCTGCTCAGGGGTACAGGAACCCGTGTAATAGAATGCCTGATATTAATGGGATTCCCTGAACTTTTACTGGGAGGCAGCCAGATACACTTATTGGAAGTACAAGATTTTGTATATTCGGTGGTTTAACTGCCTCGCATTAAACACCAGAATTACCATGCAAAAGCTTTGAAGAAGGCATTAGTAATTTATGATCCCTTAGCCGTACCATTTGAGATGGCAAAGTTATGTACACTTGTTGTATTTTGGCTGTTACGTCTCCAGTTCCATGCACACAGCCATCAAGGGATGCGGATTTCCCTCTGCCACCCCTCGCAGCCCTCGGCTTTCTGTGGCGTTTCTTTGCCATTCGTCTTTGCCAGGCCAGGAGGCAAGCTGTGAGCTGCGTCCCAACAACCACCCCAACGTGCGGGTGCTCTGGTCTCCAGGATAAATTCTTTTTTTGGGGAATAGCCCCCAAAAGACTGTCCTGAGCTCTCTGTGAGGAAGTGACTCCCTCAGCAGAAGGATGTTTCCATTCCTGTTGGCCGGGATGCTGTAAAGGGCTTTGTCAGGAGCCGGGAAGGAATCTGTCTGACATCCTAAACATCTGAGTCCTCAAAAGGAAGCTGTGGGGAAAAGAACTGAAGCACTTCTGCTGGTGCATCATCTTATCCAAACGCTACTTCTGCCCACCTCTTCCCTACCCGTGCCCTAATCCACTCCTTCCCCAAAACACAAAGCTGCCTGGCCACAGACTGGGTCCACGCAGGATGGTGCAGGTCGATGAGCAGCAGTAGGCAGAAGCCATCGTGATCAGTCCTGGCAATATTTTGGCAGGACGTGTGCTTCTACACCGAGCTGCAAGGCTTCAGTCACACATTTCCTCACCACCTTTAATCCTGGAGCTGGGCCTTTTTTTCCCACATGAAAATTACATGAGAAATCTCACACAGACAATTATTTATGCACCTGATTTTGCATGGACGGGCTGGGTGAAAGCAGGAGCAGATGCACACGTAGAGATGCTTCCTCACCACTTCCAGTTCTCTGAATTATATGGATTTTTTTTCCTTTTTCTTTCTTTTTTTTTTTTTTTAAGCCTGTCCTCTGATCTCTCTCAACCTCTTGCTTCCAGAATTTCATCACAAAACTTCCCATAGCCGGTGTTGTGTTTGTTTGGCCATATTTACTTATTTCTAATTTGGCACTAAAGCAAAGAAGACAACATAATGATGTGAGCCTCTGTGCAATACAGCAGTTAAACAACACTTACGCCTCGGAATAGAAAGCTTCCTAATTTTTATAGCTGAGAGGATCCAGAATGATCCCTGTCCCTGCAGCACACATAAATAACCTGCTGGAGAAGGCAGCCTTGGCTATTCCTGCCTCGGGCAAAGGCAAACCCATCCGTGGGGCTGCATTTGCTCAGGGACCTGGGCGCATTGGTGGGTAATGCAGAAGGATGGGGAGGTCCAACGGGTGCCTCAAGGGGGCTGATGCTGGGTGAGAATAGCCCGTGGTTTTAATTGTGTGGTGCTAATTGGTGCTGCATAATATCGTGTGTCATCACTGCTAGGGCTGCTGGATGCCATATTAACATGTCATATTAGCAGCTACATGCAATATTAGAGTAAGAATCACCCAGATAATGATGAGTAAATGTTGATGGAACCAAACAAAGTGCAGTGGAGTTAGAAGAGCACAAGTGTGCAGAGTTCCCCAGCACTGGGACACTGGTGGCTGTCACCACTTCTTCTCAGCCATGGGTGTTTTCTCCATGCAGCAGTACCTGGGAAAAGAAAGCAAGTGGTTAGAGTTAATAGGAAACGTGGCAAAATATCTGCAGCTGTTCCCAAAGGGTTGCATAGTAAAAGTCCTGAGAGTTAAACAACCGTCTCCTTCAGGTGCTTCACTTTGTGGTTTTGGGGTTAAAAATCTACTGGTAAAAGTGACCAGGAGAGAGAGCAGGAGAGAAGGGCAGAGGTGGGAGGAAAAGATGACCCAGCTGGGTGTACGTGTGTCACGAACGACAGCCCCCAGCCAGATCACTGTGTGCATATCTCCAACAAATTTCAGGCACAGAACCTCACCTCCTCCTCTAGGTGTGACCAACCAGGGAAGAACAAAAGCTATAACCCCTGGAATTCAGCTGGCATTAATTTCATGATTCATTCATGGATTATTAGGGGAAAAAAGTAGCAAGCATGCATTTTTCTATATCTTTTTTTTTTTTTGCCTCAGATGAAGACCTAGGAAAAAGTGGTCTGCATTTGCTGATTTTAGAGCGATGTAGGGTCTTTATGATGCTTTTATGAGTGAGGCCAGGAGAATACATAAGCTGTGCCTTCACCCTTCCTCAAGCCCTGCTTCTTAATGCAAGATACTCACAGGACTACTCCCAGGAAGGGATGGTTAAGTGGAGAGCTGTGAGGACTGCAACTGCATATTAAATATATATAGATACATTAATAGTTAATTTGGCTTCTCCCCAGACTCCTCACATATAACTTTAGTTTCCTGAATGATGAAGACTTCTGAGCAGGAAACACATCATCTGGAAGGTGCCCAGCAAACCCAGGGAGCAGCTCCAGAGCAGCTCTGGCCACTTGGATCCTCCAGCACCCATCGCCCCAGGTGCCAGCAGGTGCTAAAACCCTGGGGCACAGCTTCCCTCTCTTTTATAGCCATAACATGGCCACATGTGTGATCTCTGTGTGATCAGTGCTCTCCCTCAGCGGTTGCACCCTATCCAAAGGGAGATGAAAACACAAGGACGGAGGGTTCAGACTCCTTGGCAGTGGTTTTGTTTCCCGATGCGCTGTTACGGAGCTGCTCAGCCATGTCCTGTGTGGGTGGCAGCAATCTCTGTGCCTCTGCCAGCACCTCTTTTGAAGTGAAGGGTCACATAAGACTGTTTTCTGTTGTTGTCAACCCGTGCTTCAAAGTTGTTTCAGACTGGCTTTGTGCATGGATTATCTGAACAGGTTTCATTACAGCGTCTTGAAAGGACCTTCCTGCAGGTTTAGGAAAACACTGAGCTAACTAATGAACAGCACGCTGCTTTTTCTCATGGGGTTGTGAATGAATAAGGGGGGGAGCAGACAGATTGTCACTTCAGATGATAATTCTGCTGCAGGTTCATCTATTCACCTTCTTTGTGCGGGCCTTCCGTTTCCCAGGCAGAGGAATGCACTCAGCCACAGCAGAGAGGCAAATACAGGTGCTTTCTCACCACCTCACCAGAGTGTGAGATATGCTAAGCACTTGGGGTAGATGATCCTTGAAGGTCCCTTTCAACTGAGCTATTCTAGTCTAAATGCCAAGGCCTATCATCCTGAACACTGCAAACTCTTGCACCAGGCCCTAAACACCAGGTAACCAGCCCGGTTTCGTTGGAGAAGAAATTGTGGGTTTAGATCTGGCTCGTGATATTTCAAACTCCTTGTCCTTCTGGGTCCGTATGGGAGAACTGTGGTGTCCCCCAGATTCCTGGTCTCTAGTCTTTGATGCTGAAGTTCTTACCCTACATCTGTTTCCCTTCCATTTTGTCCTCCTCTGTACACCCGTCCTGCCCCACGTGTACTCCTCTGCCTGTGCTGGGTCTCGGCGTAACTTCAGAGTGGGGAATATTCCCTGGGTTCCTCGTTCCACCTTCCTGGGCTGGGCAGGTTGGACATTTTGGCAGGTAGCAGTGTATGTGCTTTTCAACTTCTTGGTCTGAAGATTATTTCATCATGGATTTTAAAAGGAAGCATTTTGCACAGCAGTTTTCCTTAAGCTTTTCTCATCATTTCCATTTTTCAGTATCAGGAAATTAATGATGAGGGGAAAAACCATTCCCTTGCCACCACCCTCCAATTCATTTATTCCAACCTCCACTTATCTACCTCTGCCTTATCTCGCCTTTTCCCACTTCCCTGCCTCTTGAGACGGAAATGCTGATCAGATGGGTTTACCCATCTGGATTGAGCTTTGCAGGGCTTCTCCCACTTCAGAGACCAGCTCTAGTCCCAGCAAAACACGATGAGCTGCAGGGAAAAAGAACTAACCAACCAACAAACGTTGGCAAGGCTGCAAAACGCGGTGTGTCTGTAGGAGGAATATATTCTCAGGCTGGGGAAATAGTGAATTTTCACAACATTGAGGCAGGTAATCTGGAGGAGGCTGGAATTTTCTTCCTAGCACTCCCTAGTACAAACAAACAGCGCTGAGAAAACAAACTTGTTTAGGTGAGAGAGGGCTGAATTAAACAGCGGTACCCATTTGTGGTCACCTAAAGCTGCTTCTATGCAGATCCCTTATCTTTGTTTACTCTTCTAAATTGCCTAAATGGTGTGAGCAATGCTGGGGATGGGTGGGGGCTGTTTATGCCTTTGTTTGGGATTGCTTGCCCTTGTCATACAGACATGGATAAGATGAAAATAAGATTCCCGGCCTGGATTAAAGATCTTCTTTTTCTTCCTTTCCAGTGCTTGTGAAGGATACTTAGGGCACATTAGGATTCTACAATCAGTAAGATTAATTAATTCAATTCCCTTCACTACCTTGTATACCACTTCACCACCCTGAATATACTCTTGAATTAACATGTAGCGTCTTACTTGCATGGCTAAAATGAAAAAAAAAAAAAAAAAAGGAGTGAAGCTTGTGAAGGCACCAGTAATTTGGGCACGTGGCCTCTTTACCACATATTATATTCATGAGAAACAAAGCATGTATTTGCTGACCCTTAAAAAATAAATCCCAGGGTCTGTAAGAAAATCCAGTACTCAGAAGTTTTTCATGCAATAGGAGTAGAAAACAAGGGGGAAATAAATAACAAAGGCACAACAGGAAAATAAATCCTTGATGCAATAGTAGGCTATCGCTCCAGAGGGATGTGCTGTGGGATTACGCACTGACCTGACTAAGGGAACTGGTGGTGCACAGATCAACAGATCCATTGGTGAGTGGTGACAGGGGTGCTTCGGTTTCCCAAGGGTGAGCTAAGGCTGAACACATTCATCTGTGGTAATTGCTGCACACACACACACACACGCCTAGCCCAAGCCTGTGGCCAAGAGGGCACGATCCAAAACCCACCAAATGATTTTCCACTGTCCTTGCTGGGCTTTGGATGGGATCTTGAAGTTTGTACTTCATTAAGCAACCAGTTTTGTATTTAAAATGAGGCTAACAACCAGTGCAGGATCACAATGAATACTTTTAACGGCATTAAAAGGCCACCAGGTGGGCAATTTTCAATCACAATTAAACCACTGTCCTCAAGTAGAAACTGTGCTGTTTAATAAATGAAGTCTTAAGATGAAGTGTGTCAATAATCTGAAATAAACAAAAAAACAAACAAACAAACAAATAAATAAATAAAGCATGTCTCATCCCTAGTTTTCTTCTTCCCATCCTCATTGCACAAAATCTCTTAAAAATTCATTTTAGTGTTTTTCTTCTGATTATAACACCAGATCCTGAAGGAGCCTCAGTTACATCTCAGCCCTGCTCAGAGCCTTTCTGCACCTTGTTGCCCCCATTGTGTAACTGGCACCTGAACCAAAGCCGTGCAGTTTTTTGGCACTGCAGGAGCCTTCCCCTGCTACTTGCCTGTGTATTACAATAATAAATTGTTTTAAGGAAATTGTGCAGGGATAAGGGAAGGAGGAACTACCATGGCTCTGTCCCCTTGCCATGATGGAGTATTTAAAACCATCCCCATCCCAAATACCCCAGTGTAGAGGAGCTCAAATATACTGACACGTTCTCTCCAGCCTGGTGTGAACCTGTCTATGTCCCACGGCATGCTGTAATTTAAAGGCTTAATCAAGCTACAAATAGTGATGGTGATCTTTTCTTTCTTCAGGAAGAAAAAAGGATGATGAGAAAAGGAAGGCAAAATCCATGGGGGAATGAGGTTTTAAGTCAGAGCAAACCTATGCCTCTGCTTTACTATGCTTTCATTTTTATTACTATAATAGCAATCATAACTGCTTTTTATAGCCCTCCTCTTAAAAAATCATCCATTAATTGCATAGGTTCCTAGAAACTGTATTGCATTTTTCAGTTTAATGTTTGCTGCTTTTTTTTTTCTTTTTGAATGTTGTAGTTAGAACAAAAGGATAGGTTTTTAAACTCTCATTTTAAAACTGCAACCCTGTGTAAGTGCTTAGAGTAAAAAAAATATTATAAAGGTTATGTGCTGAGGGTAGGGAATAGAAAATGGATTTTTTTTCCTTAATTGTAAGGAAAACTTACTTTTCCAGGACCGTGTCTAGTCACCTTGAACATGCCTGTCAGTGCTGAAGAGCTCTGCATCCTGGGGCAGGTGATCCTACCGGTTCTCCCAGATTCCCCTGAACCCCACTGCATTTTCCTTTTGGCAGAAGCAACTTGGGAAGTCCAGCTTTGAGTCCTGAACCTGGAAAAGTTCCGAAAATAGAGGTTTGCATTCTGCTCAATTTTATTTTTTCTAGATTTGGCTGTCGTTCACCTCCATGTACTCTAATGTAGAACCATCTATTTTTTATTTTTTTTTTGGAACAAACCTTGGAAACCCGCTCCCAGTGCTCTGTGAGCCCATGCTTGATGGCCTCTTGGAAGCACGATGAAATGAAGTACCACAGGAAAAGATGCAGGGATTTCTTGAGATTTCCAGTGGTTGAAACCATGGTAGAAGTTGTGTGTTCCTTGTTCTGTGTCTTTTACAGATTTTCTCCTAAGACCACATGCCATCTTACATGATTACCCTTAAATTAATGGAGGAAAAATAAATCAGTCTGAAGTGACCATTAAGGATATCAATAGATACCTCCTGTTTGCCACAACAATGATTGAAAAAGAGAGAAGACTGAACTCTGGTAAGCACAGAGGATATGTTGGGCTCATCTGTTAAGACTCATCCTAAAAAGAAGGATGTCTCAGGATGCTTTCACACGCTGCTTGCTTTGCAGCATGTTTTGTGATATTAATGATTGTTTGGTTATCAAGGACTTTGAATGCGGTATCTCTTTTGAAATGCAATTTAACTTAGAGCTTCACTAGCGTGTAACTAATTAAAAAAGCTTCTGAAGCTGAGACGCAGCTCACTGGAAGGTGTGTAAAAGCATGTATGGCTGCTCAGCATTGAAGCCCTGTGTCATGATTCAATAAGCAGGCTGATTACCAGCTGATTACCAGCACACCCACTTACATCAGCAGTGGCTTCTCCGGCTCCTGGAGAAGGACTCTAGTGTCACAGTTCCTTCTTTTTCATGTGAGTTTCCAAAATATTTAAGGTCTGCCACTTGGAGAGACTTTTAAAATTTGTGTTAAATAAAATAGATTTTTAAGACATCAGCTAATGACACTGTGAAATTGCTGCTACATTAAGATACTGAAAAAACACCTCATTTTTTTTTTTTATAGAACTGTATGCTGGTATCCACACATTGGTATTGCACACATATAATTGGGGCTCATCGTGAGAAATGCTGGGTGAGAAAAGGTAAAAGAATTGCTTTTTAGCCCCTACTGCAACCTCTGTTTGTTTGGTTGTTTGTCTGTCTGTATTTTAACAGGACCAAGACTACACTTTACTTCTCTGCAGGACCAATGACCAGAGAATGTTTTTATTTATGGATTACGCCCATCAATGATCCCATCTTTGCCATATGTTATGGCATGTGGGGCAGCTTTAGGGCCCTGGCAGCCGTACTTCTTGATGTTAATGGAGGAATAGTGGAGAAAATAAGCCTGCGACAGAGATCTATAGAGAACGATTCCAAAACTTATCAGTACTTTTGAGGACCTAACTAATTACATGGTGAAAAACACCCTGTGAACAACAACAATCGCTCCCCCTCCACCCAGGCTTTGCAGAATATAATGAACGTGCTACATTTCTTCTGGTTCTGCCACTTTCTGCATTTCCCTCTTGTCTTATGTTCCTGCTTCCCACTGCCCACCGTGTGCTCCTTCACTGCAGTTGTAATCAGCAGAGGAGCTGTGTGCTGCACTGTGCAGGTACTGAATATGCACAGCCATGCGCACAGCTTACTTAATTGGCAACCTCCAGCATCCTGTGGGATTTGAATTCCTTTCCAGGAGCAGCTGTTCCCAGCAGGAGTATTTGGAGCCCCTTCATGAATCCTGGCTCCACAAGGTGGCTCTCGATTCCTTTGAAAATACCACTGCATTTGAGGATTAAATGCAACTGAGAATGATCTTCAGGGCTCGATGGATGCACAAGGCTGTTGTGGAAACCAAGATCCCCTTTAGTATGCTGCGTATTTTTCTCTCTAGGAAAAAAAAAAAGAAAAAAGCAAAAAAGAATTAAATAAAAGGCTAGAAACTACACAAAATCTGACACAATCAAAGTAATATAACTGGATGGTAGAGGTTAGCCGTTTAATAAACCTGGAAAAGGAGAGAATAAAGGCATTATACATGCCTGGAATGCGCAGAGGGACATTCAAACACACACTGCCTGCTCTGTTCCTCTGTGGCTGCTAAGATCACTTTTTTTACCTGGAAGTGACCTTCTCCTGCTGTGTAGCCCTGTAGAATGAGACGAGCACAGTCACCAAATCCTGAGGGTGTAATCTCTGCTGGTAGGGACAGAGAGAAAGCAGCTTGGTGCTCCTCAGGAAGAGAACCTGCTGGTGAAGGCCAGGTCCCACAACAAGGTCTTTACTTGCCTCCAGCATCCCCAGTCAGCCAGCTAGATCTCTGCCCACAAGTTAACGTGGTTTCAGACCACATGAGGAGTTTGAACCTAAAGGGTTTTGCCCCCTAGAGCAGCTCATCTGAACACGAGGTCCCTCTCTGAGGTCTGTGCCTCCAACACAAACGGTTTGATGATCACAGATAATCAGCAGCTCTCCGTGTTGTGCAGCCATAGGTGAAACTGGAGTGAGCCTGTGGCGCTGCAATGCGCCCGTGTGAGATGGGCTGGGCCGCAGCACATGTGCAAAGCAGAAGGTGATGGTGCAAACCCCGTGCTCGGTGCATGACTCGCTATGTCTGCCCTCCCTCCTGGCTGCTGCTTTCACCAGTCAAAAATTCAGCTTTACATTGTTCACATCCTAAGAATGGCACAAGAAAACCTGAGTAAACTTTGGAAAAAAAAAGTTGCATGCTTTTTGTTTTTTTTTTTCAGATGTTCAAGGTCATATGTGCAAGTTCACTAGGGCCAGAAATGCATGTTAAAAAATAAAAACCTGAGAGCTGAAGCTGGACAATAAACACTAAGTATCACAAGGCAATGCTGGGCTTGTCCAAGCTGTAACATTAAATTCATTCGTCTTGTTGCTTCCCTCAAAGCTCCACGTGGCTCAGTCCCTCCCTGGTTGTCCTCCCCTGCCAAGCTGCCTGCAAAGCCTATGCTCCATCAGCATTTCCCTCTTTGTTCATTCCTGTTTTCACTTCTCACACAACTTTCTCTCCACAGCTTTGTCTCCATTGCACTTTTGCTTGGCACAGCTTTTCCCTTTCTGTGCTGTGGTCTCTTTTAGAGATCAGCTAGAGTAAATCCAGCTGGTTCAGATAAAAGCATCTCCGTCTTGTTTCCCTAATTTGTCTCTGAACACAAGTTGTGCCATGGAGAGACTTTCCTTTTTTGAAGGTGCAGAAATCAAATTGTGGGTGCTAATAACTAGGTATATTTGCTATAAACTAGAACCTGGTAGATCTGCCCTCTGTTCATCTTCACAGTCTTTAGAGCAGCTGAGGTTGCATTTCTGCTCCTACTCTTTGTAGTAGGTGTCTGACAATGGGTAAAGTTTATATTGGACTCTTGGGAGAAACCCTGATGCAGAAGTTCTTATCCTGGAGCCAGTACAATTTCGTGAGCAATATCCTGAAGGATAGGCCAAAGGACACGTCTTCCACTTCGAGATGTAATTTTTGCGTTTTCACATGTGGAAAGTCTGCAGTCAAGAGACAGAAATGTGATATCAGCAGTGGAAGCCGGTTCATTAAAAATTCAAATCAATGGAAACAACAGGACATATTATTTATCTGAGCCTTGAATCAATCTGACTACTATGCATAATGATCTTAATTAGAAAAGTGAGCTGAAGCAGGAAGACAGTCTGTCTCCTGGCTTTGAAATTATCATACCCCTATCAGTATGCTTGGGTAACTTGTAATTAGGGACAAAGGTTACACATCATTTTATATGCTGAAAAACCGGTTTTAAGCATGTCATTTCAAAAAATATTTAAGAAATAGATAGAAGACTTGCTACCCCTATTATGCTTTGACTTTTTGCTACCAGATTACTAGTCTGCACTAGTTAGTTGATGGTCTTAGGAAATACTAATAGAAGCTTTGCAGTTATTTAGAGCCTAGATATGAACAGATAACTAGGACCACCAATATTACTTTTGTACAACATTCCTTAAAAAGTTTGGTAGCTTTTCATATCTTTACTTCACCTGCAGAGTAAGTGCTTGTCCATTACACTGGTATGCCCAGAACTACACTAATATTGGTCCCCACGCAGTCCGTCACATTTTCCTTCTTTTCTTCTTTATCTTCAGCTGTTGCCTCTGGAAATGAAATGTTCTTATTTTGAACAATTGGCAGAGTCCTGTGACTATGTTTCCTCTAACATTTTTTTTTTGACCAGCTGTAATTAGAAAACAGAAGTCCTACCTCTGAGGTCCTGCCTTCTGAAAGCATCAAGGCAGTCACTTCCATGTTTAATTTAAGCAAGTTCTTCAATTGAGTTAAATCCACTGATTTAATGGCCCGTGGCCCGCTCACAGCATCATCAGACACTAGCACAGCCCTTAGCAGGAGCAATGCCTGTTGTATCGCAATATAGCTGCTCTGAAGATTTTCAAGATAGCTTTTCATCTTAGAAATTCATTACAAGAAGATCCAACGCATGAAATGGCCTGGCTTTCCCAGAACTGCATTTTCACAAACAAAAAAACATGGAAATTAAAATCACAAGTAGGATCTGTTTCATCAGAATATTAGCTCCGTTTCTGTGAGGCTGACAATCACCTCTTTACCATGTCAGGAATTATATGCATAATTCCTTTTAATGGGTGTTACAAATGTTCATCCCACACTGAAAAAAAGATCACAGTTGGTATGAGTAATAACTTTTTGTCTTGAACATAAACAGTTCCCCTCTAGCTCTGTACATCTCCTCCAACATCAATGTAACCACAGCTGTCAAGGGAGCCTCACCTCTTTCTATGTATATTTTAGCTTTAATTTTTTCCCATGCTTTCACTTAAAGGATTTTTTTTTTTTTAAAGGGGCATAAACCTGTTCTCCAATTTTGTGGGCAAATTCATTGCAATAACAGATCTCAGTGTGTTTAGACATCTGTAAACATTATTATTAGCGTACCAGAAATTAGAGACCTACATCAAGATCTGGGGGTTTGGTGGTGGTTCTTTTTTTTTTTTTTTTTTCAATGAAGGTGAATTTCAGATCATCTTTTCCCTCATTCAAGGATCCCCAAGCGCTTTACATAGTTAAATGAGTTCTTCTGGTCTCCTTTTGTAAAGGCAGTAATAGTCTCCTTCAACAGCTTCGGCAGGGCCTCCGGGGGACACGGTGCATGTACACGAGCAGGAGGATTTGAGGACACTCAGCGAAGAGGCACTGTGGTGGCCTGGGGGTAGAGGAGCTTGTGTCTCCATTGGAAGTGCACCATGTTCCCTCGAAGGTGAAGACTCCATATTTCTTCAGTGAAGCCCCCATGTCCCCTCAGAGGTGAAGCATTCATACATGTCACCTCAGTGAAACACCCCATGTCCCCTTGAAGGTGAAGTCCCCATGCCACCTCAGTGAAGCACCCTATGAAGCACCCTATGTCCCCTTGGAGGTGAAGCCTCCACGCCCCTTCTGAGGTGAAGTACCCATACATATCACCTCAGTGAAGTACTCTGTGTCCCCTCAGAACTGAAGCCTCCATGTCCCCTAAGTGAAACACCCCATGTCCCCTCTGAGGTGAAGCCCCTGTCCCCTCTGAGGTGAAGCATCCATGCATATCACCTCAGTAAGCATACTGTGTCCTCTTGGAGGTGAAGTCCCCACGTCACCTCAGCGAAGCACATTATGTCCCCTTGGAGGTGAAGCCTCTATGCCTCCTCTGAGGTGAAGCAACCGTACATATCACCCCAGTGAAGCACCCTGTGTCCCCTCAGAGGTGAAGCCTCCTTGTCGCTTCAGAGGTGAAGCATCTATACATGCCACCTCAGCAAAGTGTGCCACGTCTCCTCACAGGTGAAGCCTCCATGTCCCTTAAGTGAAGCACCCTGTGTCCCCTCAGAGGTGAAGCCCCCATGTCCCTTCAGGGGTGAAGCCTCCATGCACATCACCTCAGCGAAGCACCCCGTGTCCCCACAGCGATGGCACATCCACGTCCCCTCAGCGGGGACCCCCCCCATGTCCCCTCAGTGTCCTTCTCTCCCCCCGGGGACCCTGTGTGCCCCTTGGCGAGCCTTTCCATCACGCCCTCGTAGCCCTCACCCCATCCCGCTGCGGGATGGCGGCGGGACGGGACCCCGGGCACTGGGGCAAGCGGGAGGGCTGCAGACAGCCGCCACCAGCCATGACCAACACCACGGAGCCATGTCGGGGACCACAACCCCGAAACAGCCCCACAGGAGGCTCCCGGCCGAGCAGCGGGGCCGGAACGCAAGCATCGGGGCTGGCGTTTCCGAGCCGGGCCGCGGCGGGGCGGCTCAGTGCGGTTGCCATGGTGGGAGCCCCGGGGCGGCTCCGCGGCGGCTGCCGGCATGGACGAGGAGGAGGCGGTGCGGCTCCGGGAGCCGCGGGGGCGGCTGCTGCGCCCGGGGATGGCGGCGCTTTCCCCGCCGGGCCCTCGGGGGCTGCGGGCGGCGGGGGAGGGCGGAGGCGCCGCGGGGATGGGGGCGGCGGGCGAGGGCCGGGCGGGGTCCCCTCAGTCCTATTGGGGTCCCCTCGGCCCCTTTAGGGTCCCCTCAGCCCCTTTAGGCTCCCCTCAGCCCCACTGGGGTCCCCTCAGCCCCAGCAGACCCCTCTCGGGGAGCTCCTCGGCCCCAGCCCGCGCATGTGGGGCTGCCGCAGCCCCGCCGTTTTCTCCATTTTTCTAAGGGTTTCCCTCTGTCCTCCTTCTCCCCCCATTTTCCCTTCTTCCCCCAGTTTCTCTGAGTAACCCTTCCCCCTGAGCACAACTCTCCGCCCAGTCGTGCACTCTTTCCTCCACATGGTTCTTTACGTTGCTGCAAGCTTAGTTTTACTTTCACCTCTCAGCATCTGCTTTTTGTCTTATTTAACTCCCTTTTCATTTCATGTAGGTGTTTTTTGCTCGTTTTTCATGCCATACCCAGTGTGGTGTGAACTATTATCCCCCTTATACTAAAATTCACAAAGTATCTTGCCACCTTCTTGTTCAGTTACCTACAGCTAACAGCAAATATTACTTGTTATCTCCACAAGCTAAGATAAAGGACACGTGTTTACTTGTCCATAAATAATTTCTAAAGCTCTGCAGTAGCCTAGTAATAGCGTTACTTGTTGTATTTGGATGCATGTGAAACTATTTTTTTTTCTTTTTAGAGAGATTTCAATGAACGCTGCGCGCAGTGTTCAGATGTAAACTGGGGCCTTACTGACGGAGGCAGGTTTTATTGCAGAACTTGCCACAATGTTACTGAGGTAAAAACTGAAGCTATTGACCTTCAAATAGGTTTATTTTGGTTGTTTTGTTTCTTTATTTGATTGTTTTATGTAAGAAAATGTTTGTTTGTTTTTCTCCTTGACATTAGAAGTTGAAGGCATTATCATGATTCTTCCTTTTTAATGCTTGAGTTAACACTGTTGCAAACAATTCTGTTCCTTCAAGGCATAAAGTTTAAAACAAGCCAGTGTTGGACATGGTGCTGCTGTAGCCATAGTGCTGGTACGATGTCTGGATGCCTTTAAAGTATTGCTTGGATATTGCTGCACTTCAGTTCAGTGCTGGTGTAGGCAAACTCTGATGCACATCACCTCTATATCCAGAATAGTCATTCTCTATTTTTGGTATTTCTGAATTAAAAATGTCTATTTGTTTTTAGTTTAGGAGAATTGAACCAATTCCTCCATTTTATTGTATGGTGGAGCAATTGACACAAGTTAGGCCTGGCTTTTT